TACTGACAGAAAACAAATGTGGTAGGACTGCCCCTTCCCTGTTCATGCCTCCAGTGACTGTTTGAGCATTTCCTTTTTAACATTGTGATTATTGTGTAGTAATCTGGTTCTGCCTGTCGAGAAACCAGGTGGGTGGGAAGATGTAGGTAAGTGTGGGTCCCCTCAGGACTCCCTGAACAAGGAGACTTGTCCCCAGTCTTCCTCAGAGGAAGGAGTGGGGAGGATAGTGCAGGTTTAACATAGAAACTTCTGTTTGCCCCAATATGATGGGCATGATGTTACACTCTTCCAGAAGAATCTTAGTCATTGTGTTGCTTTTATTGTGTTACCCTTTTCAGCTTACTTCCCTAGCCACTAAGTCTGCTGGTGGGGAACACTCTGAGAGGAAGACAAGGCAGAGAATTGGACATTTTCTGTGAAACAAATTTTAGAGCAGATTTGTCCAGCCCCTGACCAGCCTCTGTCCCTTCCCTACAGAGGCAAAAGATTAGCCAACTGATTTCTTAGTCTTCTCTTGTTCTAATCCTTTTGTCTCTGGAAACTTCTCTGTCTGCTCAGCGCCACTACTACGAGCCATTGAAGCCCACAGCACTGCAGAGATTCCTGATTCAAAGTCAGAAAATCAAAAGCTTCATGTTAAAAGTGTCAGATTTTGATCGGGATAAGACTTTACTGATTTTGACCAACAACCCACCTCCCTTCCCATTTGACCAGCATGGAAGGGACTTCACACCCAGCTACTTTCCCAAGGAGTTTCTGCTCAAGGTAATGGCACTGGGGGGGACTAACTGCATATCAAAAAGCGTTTTCAGTGCCAGTCTTCTTTCTTAATCTTGGCTTGATGCTTCACAATATAGAACCTGATGATCCTGGGAAACTTCCAGGATCAGCTACCTAAACTTGGATCATGAAACTTCATTGCATGGAGAAAAAAGAATCTTCACTAGCATTTTTTTTGCCTTTCTGGCCAGAGATATCTAGTTTGTAATTAACAAAGAATGAAGTAGCCACTGGCTTTCTAGTTGAATGTAAATCAGGAAAGAATAAATCAGAAAACGAGGACCCAGGAACCAAATGAATATCTACATTAGAAAAGAATAAAGGGTTCTGTTTTATACCAATTGTTTTTAGATGTCAGGAGAAGAAAAGAGCAGAGAATTCGTTATCACAATAGACATACATTGGGGCTCTACTGTACACTAAGATCTAATTCAGTTTGATACATAAATCAAGATGACAACTGAAATATAAAAATGATTATAGGACAATTTTTATCATGAAGGAACTTGGAATCTAACAATCCAATACATCAGATATATATAAAAGGAATGACATCAGGATATATGAATGATAAAAGAACATACAAGATGCAGAACCAATATACAGTAGAGAACAGCATCTCTGCTGGGGGAGGAGGTGTAGTTTGGGAGTACAGGAGATGTGACCTCTGACAAAAGAAAATTTGACTATTCAAAGGGAAGGACAAACACATGAGGATGTGAAAAAGTGGATTCCATCCAGAAAGATGTGCAGGAATAAATAGCAGAAGATAGAGGATGTTATCTCATTCACATTTTTGAAAATCCTGTTTTAGAATTTCAGTGGAAAGAGACAAAATCACAAGACAAAATCAGTGACAAAAATCAGAAGCATGAGTTCTGATATCACCACCAGAGTCAAATGAGCAATATTGAAGAGTGAAGTAATCTGACATCACCACCAGAGTCAAATGAGCGATATTGAAGAGTGAAGTTAGTCGATGCAGAGGATGTGAAGAAAATCAATTTAAGAGAAATTTAGGAAATCTGTATCTGAAAAGGATTTTGAGATCTTGACAGCATTGAGAGAGGGCTTAATATAACAAGAAGAAATCAAGTAAGTGGAAGTGTAAACAAGAGAATCTAACGATGACAGAAATTTGATGCTGAAGTATAATTACCCAAGAGAAAACCTTAGAAGAAAGTGTGAACTTGGAATTAGTATTTCCTCAGTTACTAGGTAGATGACAGTGCAAGACTCCTCTTCAAATGGAAAATAAAATGCTGCTCTCCAATTGTGTACCGCAACAAAGGCGCTAGTTACCTCATTCATTGCCGATGGTATCTTGGACCTCTGAGTCGGCTCTTCATTGCAGGGCACTGTTCAATAGCAGTGGATAGTAGATGATATATACTGGGTGGGGGTGAATGCCAGGCCAAGATTGTGCTGGACTAGGTAACAGGGGACATATAAAACCTTGGTACCAGAAGAGCTGCCTTCCAATACCTGGCACTTTGTGAACCTTCTATCAGGCAGGATCTGACCATATTCATGTGCTACTGGCCAAATTGTATTAATAGAGTCAAGACACTGGGTGTCAAAGATTGGCACCATGTAATTGTATGGAGCTATTATATGGTCACTGTATGGGGCTAGGATGCCTCTTTAATATTCATGCCATCTTCCCTCCTTTTCTTGGTAGATAAATGTGACCATCTTTTCTGGGCCTAGGGTCTAATACAAAAGCACCATTCTTTTGCTTTGACCTGGCATGTCTAAGGGAAGAAAGGGAGTTACACCAGGCAAGTTGTAGAATGGATCAAACATGTCTATTACAATGATTTTTTTTTTAAGATTTATTTATGTATACAGAACTGGGGTACAGGCCAGCGGTGCAGGGGTGGTGACAGGCTTCACCAGAGACAGAGTGGGGAGCAGGATAGACAGATCAATGAAGTACACTGCTGAGGGGAGCAGCAAACAAGACAGGAGAGGTCTGCTGTGCCATGTGGGTCACCTCTGGGGCCAGGGATTGCACTTGTACTGAAGTGGCTGCGGCCAGCTTGCAGGGCTGCATCCTAAGCCATTGCGCAACCAGGGAGGGCCTATTGTAGTGATTGTTATAGTTCTAAGTGAAATGGACTTTTACCACAGTTTGTAGAGATAGATGCCCTAAAAGACTCTACACTCAATCCTTTACTCCTTGCTGGGACCATAGGTTGCCAGGTTCAGTGAAGAAATCTATGTTATAGATTGGTACCCCCAAACTATACTCACCTACTAACACCCCAGATCTGTGAGTAAATCAGGTTCATCTTTCCAGGTATCTGAATTGGAAAAGGAAAAGCGTGGATAGTGGGAATGAAAACTAACAGGAGACAGAGAGGGACCATAAGGAAAACAAAGTTTGAGGAACAAGGTAGTGTAGGGAGCACAAAGTAGATAAGGAAGGCTTGGATTATAGGAAGGCAGAAAGAAGATGCAGAGCAGAGCTAAAAAGTGGATGTGGTAGAAAGAGAATGATGCTCATGGGAAGAAGAGACATGGTGATTCCTGGGCAAGATACACTCTCACCTGCTGTCTTAGCTAGACCTGTCTTGGAGCTCAAAGGAACTTTCCATTCCTGTTTTTCTGTTATATGGTCTTGCTCTACTAAGGGTTCTGCATCATGTGGCCAGATTGCTAGGTGCAGGTGTTTTGACAGTAAAACCCATTTGTTGAAGAAACATGAATGGATTCCTACTCCTCGAAATGGAAGAGCTTACAGGGAATACATTAGAATTAGAAAGGCATGATTTTACTGCAAATATTTTAACAAGAGATTTAAAAATTCTGAGAGAAAAGTATGTCTGTATGTCAGTTCATCTGGTCATTTATTCTTGCTTTCATTCTACCAATATTTTGTGTCTGCTGTGCATCAGGCACCTTCTGAGTGGTAGAAATATATTAGTGACTAAGTTAGGTCTTTGCCTGGATGAAGTGGAATTCTAGTGAGGTGGACCATAAACAAGCAAGTATCCCAGGTCACATAGATAGTGTATAATGTGATAAGTCCCCAACAGGCAGGATAAGGGAGTGGTGCATGATGGGTGTGAGTGGCAGTTGTAGGCAGTGTGCTAAGGGACCTTTGCTCTTAGCAAACGGAATGGCTTTGCATAGGGACTTTAATGAGGTGATGGGTTGTATAATTGATCCAGCTAGCAGGTTTTTGTCATTCCAGACGGCCACACATTAGGAAAAGCATAATTTGTAATTTTCTCAAGTGCATGACAACTGAGATAAACCAGGATAAGGAGCCCAAAGCCATGTCATGTGGAGAAAAATTCAAAATGTTGAGCCTGGAATGGAGAGTGAGCTAAGCAGGGTCATGATGGATTTCTTCAAATTTTAAAGCACTCTGTGGGAAGAGGCATAGATTTGCTCTGTTTGCACTGTAGAAGCTACTGGGAGATAAGCCATTTAACTGACAAAGATGAAATAGGTTGGGGTTTCTTGGTATGGGAAAATTGGCCAATTGGGAGTGATACTGTGATATTGTGGAGGGAAATGAGTGTCAGATGAATGATAGGCTGAATGACCTTTAAGAGCCTTTCTGAAAGTCTTGGATTCCATGGCCTTAGTCATGATGAAATTGTTACCTCACAGACATCCTATTCTGTGGACTTCTTACTGCAGGCAGGAATTGGAAACTGGATGAGACAGCTCTGTCCAAGAAAGGAAGATGGAGTCCCATGGATCAATTTCCTTATTTATTTTCAAATGTTTGGTTCTCTCGGAAATTCTGATTGAATTCTTCTCAAAACTGGGTAAATTCCTCTGCCACTCACTTCAGTGGGCCAGTGGACAAATTGGGCCACTTTGGAAACTAACAGAGGTTTGGCCAGGAGATCTGACAGTGAAATAGCTATGAGCCATGCAGGAATGGCTTCCTCCTCTTGGTTTCTGCCCACATCCTACTTTGATGGGCTTTGTTGCATCACTTTAGGGTCTCCAGAGCTTCGTCCCAGGACTTAGTCCAACCTTCAAGTCCCAAGGGATCCTGTGTACTTCCTAATTTATTCTTCTTTCTGCCACAGGAAAGTTATCATCACCCTAAGCCCATCGAGAATTTCTGGCTACCTCTGATGTCCCATAAAAAAAGGTTAAAGTCTGGGCTTAAACCAGTCTTCCCTGTGACAGTGCTGGAGGATTCTACATCCAAACAAGAACAATGGTTTAGGTGAAGTCCTGTCTCTTGTCCTATGTTTCTTTCCTAACTGTTTCTTATTCACATTGCCGTCTCTTTTCAATATGATTTAGCAGACACACTTTGGTTGTAGGGAATGTATACCACGTTTAGTAAGAAACAGTTTCTCTACATGAACTCAACCTTACTTAACTTCTGAAAGAAAAACAGCAATGCAAAACTATGCGCTTTCATGAGAAGTACCTAAGAGTCCATGCTTTAAGGAACCAGTAGCATACTTTCTTTTCTCTTAGCATATGTTAAGGACTGTGTGACAGGAATGGAGAGCTAAGGGCTTTTGATGGGACATTAGCTATAGCCTCTGGTTAGGAGATGAGAGAGATTATAGCGTTCCTTCAAAGGGATACAATACTAGGTTCTAGAAGCATCCCTGGCCACTAAGTAATACTCCCACTGTGTACCAGTGAGTAGACTTCCCTGAAATCTGAGCTATAACTGACTTCTGATGGGTTCCATTAAAGTCCTGCTCTAAAATCTACTAAATGAACTT